CCAAAGAAGCAGAAAAAAAAAGAAAAAAGAAAAAAAAAGCAACACCAGCAGCCAACAAATGGCACTCAGAGAGCCAGCCAGTGCGGGCTGGTGTTTCTGGACAAGAGACTGTGTCCATGGGAAACAGAGGAGGCCGAGTGTGAGTGAAGAAGGGTGGAGAGTGGGAAAGCATATATCACAAATTGGCGGCGCTCTGGAGCCCCTCAGGAAGGAGCAAAGATAGCGCACGGAGCCAGGCACCCGAGTGAAAGAAGGAGGAGGCAGTGAGAGGCAAGCAAGAAACCAAAAGAAGCAGAAAAAAAAGCAACACCAGCAGCCAACAAACGGCACCCAGAGAGCCGCCCACTTGGGTGTGTGGAATCCAAGCAGCCGGCAACTCCCGGTCAAGAAACCGTGGCTGTGGGAAGCAGAGGAACAAACGGACAAAAGCCCCGGGATCCCACCAGCGTGGCAGCCCAGACTGGGAAGCAGCTGCACACTTGAATGGAGCCCCGCAGCCCCACAGGAAAGAGCAAAGACGGCACTCGGAGCCAGGCACCCGAGCAAAAGGAGGGGGAGGCAGCGAGAGGCAAGCGAGAAACCAAAAGAAGAAGAAGAAAAAAAAAAAGCAACACTAGCAGCCAACAAATGGCACCCAGAGAGCCGCCCGCTTGGGCATGCGGAATTCAAGCAGCCAGCGCCTCCCAGTCAAGAGACCGCGGCCACGGGAAGCAGAGGAGCCCGAGCTGGGGCGAAAAGGGGTGGGGGGTGGGAAAGCGCACACCGCAAATTACCGGCTGTTTTGTCTCCCACTGGACACTCCGTGAGGCTGCTTTCTCATACCTCCGTTTGCTGGTCTCCGATAGGAGTCCAAGATGGTGGATCCGCGCTGCGTTAGCTGGTAGGGGACCTCTGCATGAATCTCTTCTCACTCTCCGTTCTCTTTCAGCATTCTCACTCCATTTGGTGCTTTGCTGAGTTCTTTATCTCTTCATTTGATGTTCTAGGGTTCCAGGATTGTTGATTCTCTGTTTGGCTTAGTTTTTCGGATCTTTGCTGTGGAGGGACGGTGTGGTGCTTCTGCCTAGAGCACCATCTTGCCGGACTCCGCATTATGCACTTTTAAGAACTATCTATATGTGATCAAATTGACAACAGTAACTCAAAAGATTAGATAGGAACCTTAGTGGGTAGTGAATTTATGTTAATGAAGGAGGAACAACTCAGAAAAGGAGGGTAAGAATGATTGCACAAATCGAAGAATGTAATCAATATCACTGCATGGTACATGTACAAACTGTTGAATTGGTGTATGTTCTGCTATGTATATTCTCAACAACAACAACAAAATAAATCAAATTTAGAGGGGAAAAAAAAGAAAGGTAAGAATGAAAAAAAAATTTAGGGGAAAAAATACTTTAGGAGAAAGCTGCAGGTCTATTCTACAATACTTTAGTGATTAGGAGCATGTGCAACCCACTCCTCCAGAATTATTCCTACCTTTCTTATAGGGAATAGATTCAAGATCTTGAGTTACTGGCTGTGTGTCAAGTTTATCCAAACTGAACCAACTGCCATTGGCATGACCCTGCTCCAATACAAAGCAGTTTTCCCACAGGCCTAAAGAGGCTAGAATCTTGGTATAAGACTGTAACACTTTCCCAAACATGTGCTTTATGGTAAACAGATTCATTTGTGTGATTCTATCTTTCCCTTTCCCTTTGTGCATTTGCTTACTGACACTCAGTAGAAAACACAAAAGAGGGCAGAGTAAGTGCCTTCTGGCAAAAAGAACAAAACAATCTCTTTCGATGTCTCCACCTCATGACTAGCTCTTGCTCCCTCTGGTCTTTAAACTAAACCCTGACTCTTTGTCTAGACCTATGATATACAAATGACTCTGGCAGCCCATATGATCTACATCTCAACATCTTACCTGTTAAACATGTCACAAGTGCCAAATCCAGCCTCTCCCATTCCCTGGTCAGATTCCTATTAAATGCAGTCCTGCTACTGCCTACATTCCCTGTGTCAGAAAGTGGGGTCCAAAGGCAGAATTCCCAATTATACAAGGAATAAGGAATCTCAGAAGATGTGGGCAGAATATCAGAACTGCCTTACTAACACAAGCTCATAGTCAAACCACCAAAATTATCTCTAACAATGGTCTAGGAAAAGTATCCCTAGTGTCTGTCATAGTGACTGGCCCAACAAGTGTTTGTTGGAGTGAAGAAGGAACAGAAGGAAGGAAGGAAGGAGAGAGGGAGGAAGGTGAGGAGAGAACAAAGGAGGGAAGGAAGGAAAGTTGCTCTAAAGATTAATCTTAAAAATTTAACTATGTCATATAAATCAGTGCTTCCAAACATTAATGTGCATGTGAATCAACTGAGAATCTGATTAAAATGTAGATTCTTATTCAGTACATCTGGACCAATCAGTAACATCATGACAAATGGAGAGAATATTGCAGTTTTCAAGGATTTTATTTTACTTGGATCCACAATCAACACGCATGGAAGCAGTAGTCAAGAAATCAAATGACATATTGCATTGGGCAAATCTGCTGCAAAAGACCTTTTTAAAGTGTTCAAAAGCAAAGATGTCACTTTGAGGACTAAGGTGCACCTGACCCAAGCCATGGTATTTTCAGTCGCCTCGCATGCGAAAGCTGGACAATGAACAAGGAGGACCGAAGAAGAATTGATGGCATTGAATTATGGTGTTGGCGAAGAATATTGAATATACTATGGACTGCCAAAAGAACAAACAAATCTGTCTTGGAAGAAGTAGAGCCAGAATACTCTTAAGAAGCCAGGATGGCGAGACTTCATCTCATGTATTTTGAACATATTATCAGGAGAAACCAGTTCCTGGAGAAGGACATCATGCTTGGTAGAGGGTCATTGAAAAAGAGGAAGACCCTCAATGAGATGGATTGATACAGTGGCTGCAACAATAGCGAAGGCTAAACAGGCTTTACAAGGCTGTATATGAGCACCCTCATGTGGTCCACTAGTTTACTACAGTTTGCTAAGTCATCTTTATGTATGTCCCTAGCATGTAGCCACTATTGTCCACTTACCCCTATAAAACCTCTTCCCTCCCACTGTGAGGTATAGAGATCTGCTCTGGTCCTGTGACTGCCCAGGACTTGACTCGGTATGTAAGTCTCCCTAATAAATTCCTTTGCTGCCACACTGGAATTGCCCACGTCTTTCTTCTATCTCTCAGCACCCTCCATTTTCAGAAGCAAATTTCAAGTAACTGGTCCATGCCTGGACAATTGGCAAGCCAGCCAGAAGACCGAGGAAATGGCAAGTGGGAGTGAGGCCTCTGGGGGAAAATCCCAGGTTGGCCAGCAATCTCCGTGTGTGGAGGTCTGGCTGTATGCTTTTCTGCAGGGGAAACCCTGGGTTGGCCAGTGTCCTTGATGTGGAGAGGTCTGGCCTGTATGCTTGATACTTGTGGACCACCATGTGAGTACCAGGATGTCCAAAAAATGCCAAGTGGCCTAGCACAGTTGTTGGCAGACACATGCCTTCGTAAGTGTGGAAGGGAAGCTAGGAGAGCAGTAATGGCCATGTAATGGCCGCTGTTCCAGGCTGTTCAGCTGGCCACTGAAGCCCAGCTAGCTGCTGAAGTGCACATAAGTGCTTTGCAGAAAGAGTTTCAGTTGGAAAGAGATGTGCGGAAGTCATGTGTGGCCACAACTTACGTATTGAGCAGCCGCATCCGTGAACAGGATGAACAACAAGAATGCTCACCTGCAGGTTTGTACAGATGGGGGATGCAAGGGCTAGAGGAACAATCCCCTAGCCATTGCTCAAAGCCCTCCAATAATGAGATCGGAGATATCTGGAGGGGCTAAGCAGGTCCCCGGCGCTTAGAACACCCTGTAATACTCAGCACAAAGCAAGAGTTAAAACAGCAGGAAAAAAAAAAAAAGGAGTAAAAAGCCCTTCAAGATAGCTTGCGTTGAACGTCCTTGAAGAGACCTTAGAGGCCCTCTCTGGAATTCTCTGATCACTGCCCCTGTCAAGATAACTGAGGAGCAATATAGTTGCAACTGCAATAGTAAGGAGAAAACTTAAAAAGGAGGTCCTGCCTCTGTGTAACCAGGCAACTGGGCTGAACTCATGCTTGCACTTGGTATGGTGAAGGGGTGGCTCCACAAATGACTGACAGCTCTGCCAACATTGCCCAGATCTTCTGACTTTCAGAAATAATTAAGACTGAGAATTAAGCCTAGGTCCCTCTGTCACCTGGGAGGACCAAAGTCCTTATGTTACAATTAAAGTTCAATGAGGAAATAAAAAGAATTGTACGTCTTGGGTTTTTAGATACCATTGCACATATGACTGTGATCTCTGTAACACCTGGCACGAAAATGAGGAAAACTTTTGGGTCTGAGCTCACCATCCCTGAGACCTTTGCCCAAGCCTGACTCTGGATAATTCCCTTCAAAGCCCCTACAAGCCCCTATTGTATGTACTGATGATATTGATGTATTGATGGACACTTCTGTAAACATTTGCCTCCAAGCCCTGATAGGAATTGCTGCAGTTAGGGCCATTTTAGTGGGGCACATGGAAACTGCAATGTGGGCTATAGCTAATAGCCTGGCCACTCAGTCTGGCCACTGACAACCCTCGTACTGACATATAAAGCAAGCCCCTATGGGGATGAGACATCTGGACAAATAAAAATCAGCTCTGCTCCTGATAAGCTTTTGTGCTTGTATGGATGATCACCAGAAAGGCCTCTAAGCTGAGAGGGGAAAACAACCAATAAGCGCAAAGAGATATGCAACTGACCACCTCCTGGATTTAAGAGAAGACAGCCAATGGAGATTCACACACCATCCTAGACTGGGCCTACACGCATGGGCTGCCACTGTCATCAGAAAATGCCAGACAGCATAGAAAACCTGACCTGCCTATGAGACCCTAGCCAAGGCTAAAATCTGCCCGGGGACAGATTCCCAAGCCAACAGGCCAGGGTGTTCTCAGGAAGTAAATCATATTGGAGCCTCTTATCCTATACACAGGCTTCCACTAGATCTTTAATGAACTCTTCACACTCTATATCACCCCCGAGCCATAGGGGCAACTGAGCACTTTAATGGACAGTCTTAAACGGCTGATGGGAGGGGACAAGACAACCCTATACATCTCAGGCAAGCAGTCTGGGGTCTCAATGCAGCAGTTCTCTGCAAGGGCATTTCTCATTTGCGCCTTATGTTTGATCAAACTGTCTATTCTATAAAATGTGTTTCTTTTGTATACAACTGTTCCTGACGAAAGATCTGGATTCCCATCTAGCTCAACTGGCATAACACAGTTTATAAAGAAAATGTTGTACGTTCTACCTTGGTGAGTAGCTTCTGGGGTCTTAAAAGCCTGTCAGCAGCCATCTAAGATACTCCACCGGTCTCACCCCTTCGGGAGCAAGGGAAAATAAAGAAAACAAGATACAAGGAAAAGATTAGTCCAAAGGACTAATGGACCAAAACTACCACAGCCTCCACCAGACTGAGTCTGGTACAACTAGATGGTGCCCGGCTACCACCACTGACTGCTCTGACTGGAATCACAACAAGGGTCCCGGACAGAGTTCGAGAAAAATGTAGAACAAAATTCTAATTCACAAAAAAAGACCAGACTTATTGGCATGACAGAGACTGGAGAAACCCCGAGAGTATGGCCCCCGGTCACCTTTTTAGCTCAGTAATGAAGTCACTCCCAAGGTTCACCTTTCAACC